TGGTCCAGATAGAGGTTACCCTGATGAAGTAGAGTAGTCCTTGGACATCCAACACCTCCTGACCCTTGTGTCTGATAAACATAATTAAACACTGAGGGGTTTGTGTGTGTGTGTGTTGCTATCGTCATCCAACAAACTCAAAACATTCCAAATTTTATAAGTAAGATAATAGAGAAGATATATGCTCGTTCATAGTAAATATGGTCATGGAGGGATGTTAGCATTTTTGATGCTGCAAAGTGTTATGCACAGACATCTCTTTGAAAGGCAAAATGTCTAGAGATATGTGATAGAACTAAAGATGTTTTTTTCCAACCATTTATAGATAATAATATATTAATAGTATTCTGTTAAGTTTAGATAAATGGTTCTCTCTTTCTCTTCTTGTACCAGCAATGCTAGAGGAACCTAAACACTCATTGGTAACTGTGGCTCACTGTGATCTATAATTCTCACAGAATGGAATATTTAGAAGAAGCTAAAAAGTGATTCTGATACACTCTCTTAAATGGATATGTGTCATCCCTCTATCCTACTCCTTAAGAATTTCTGAAGTGGAACAATTTAATGAACTGAAAAATTGTAATTATCTCAGTTTTCTTCCCCTATTCAAGGGGAAATGCAGAAAAATACTCTGGGCATTTGCAGTAATCTAAGTACATTTTCAAAAGCTGTAATGTAGAGGAGATTCAGGGTGTAGACCAGAGAAAGTATGCAATGAGGATATAGCCTTAAGCAAGATTGCTACAATTAAAGACCCCCCCGCCCCGGGAGAAAAACCTATGGTTACTTAAAATTCCATTTACCGATTCTAGCTGTGTACACTGTTAAAACTCTAGTTGTGGCAAAAGCTATGTATGGTTATAAAGAGCAAGCATAGAAAAATGGGAGAAGCCTTTTCTTACTCTTTGAGAGAAGGTGAAACAATATTTATAATTTTCTACACCTTGATTTTCTTATAAAAGTGTTAAAATATTTTCACATGCAGAAAGTATTTGTTAAGGACTATGAGTCCAGAATTGTTTCAGGTGCCTTGATGAATGAAAAACATATGATATTCCCTTTCTTCAAGAAACATGATATGATATGTAAGGGTGGAAAAAGATTAAATGAATGCNATTCCCTTTCTTCAAGAAACATGATATGATATGTAAGGGTGGAAAAAGATTAAATGAATGCATTGGGGGAGAGGAAGGTTTAGAAGGTTTAGCTTGGTCTAGATTCTGTATCACGAGTGGTGGGTGCTCTCTGGAGATCTGTTTAAATAATGAACACAGGAAGCCATCAGAAGAAATAACTCACCCTAAGAGGAAAGAGCAGCGGTATAAACTGAACCTAGAGTGGGAGAAGCACTCGAGAAGGGAAGGCATTTTCTTTGTCAATGTTTCTCAGGCAAGCCTGTCTTATTAAATTTAAGCTATTTAAAATCTCTCTAAATTGTAGAAAATGAATAATAATGTAAATGAGTTTTGTCCATAGAAATTCAAATTAATTATTTCTAGTGTAATGCAACTGACTATTGCTTTGTGGATAGATCTATTTTGCTTTTCTTTTTATTGCTTATATATTTGTAGTTTGCGACATTCTCCTTTGAAGCCAGTTGTAACATCTTACTGGTTCCCTCATTAATAAATTAAATAACATTTTTGACAATTTTAACATGTTTTACAAACATCACAATTATACCCTCTTTTAAAAACTGTTCTTTATCACTGTATATAAAGTAGCATGGTGACAGCATTCATAAGGATGACCGTAGTTTTTACGATTTTTTGCTGAGAGTCTCAGCACTACTTAAGAAGAATTGAGGTACAGTTGACCCTTGAACAATGTGGGGGTTAGGGGCACTGACCCCCTGTGCAGCTGAAAATCTGTGTATGATTTTTGACTCTCCAAAAGCTTAACTTTTAAATAGCCTAGTACTGGAATAATATAATAATATAATATACCCTTGAACAATGTGGGGGTTAGGGGCACTGACCCCCTGTGCAGCTGAAAATCTGTGTATGACTTTTGACTCTCCAAAAGCTTAACTTTTAAATAGCCTAGTACTGGAATAATATAATAATATAATATAAACAGTTGATTAACACACATGTGTGTTATATGTATTATATGCTGTATTCTTATAGAAAAGTAAGCTAGAGAAAAGAAAGTGTAATTAAGAAAATCATAAGGAAAAGAAAATATGTTTACAGTATTCACTGAAAAAAATCCATATATAAGTGGACCCATGCAGTTCAAACCTGAGTTGTTTAAGGGTCAACTGTACTTGTAGTTCTTATAATATCTTCCTTTGGTATAGTTTAAAAAAATACTGTTTGCTACTGTTATTCTATTCTCATCACTAAACTCATGTTGCCTGGAAGCTGCAAGTGGTCTCTAGGGAGTAGAGGGCCCAGGGAAGTTGAGATGAGCTCAAAAGATCCACAATGCTGATTAACATAGTAAAGGCTGTGAGACCCCCTGGGGTAAATAAATCTGTTTACCCTCTTATTAATAAAATTATTCGGCCATAGGACACCTATATCACTGAACATCTATTAAGAATTTTAGGGATACAAGTGTTCCATATTATATGATTTGGGAAACTTTAGTTTAGAAAATGTGTCTGACCTTCATATAATTGAAGTGTTTTGAGAGCCTAACCCTAACTCATGGAGGAAGAATGCATGAGTTAAGCTATAAAGGCATAAACTATGTATTTCTGAACCCTTTATCATAATGGGAAGACATGTTTTTACAGTAAGGTGTTATTTTGTAGGATTCTGGAAATTGGGGGAATTAATGAAGTGAAAACATAAATAAGGGAGTTTGTTTCTGATTAAAGCCCAAGGGTCTCTCTAGAGTTTTAGGTTATGATACTCAATTGACTTTCTCCTTTTTAGCTGTAGGGTCTTACATTTCATTCCATTAAAGGCTCTAACAGGGTATTGAGTGAACAGAAAATATGTAAGGGCACAAATGATTCCATTATCTTTTGAATGCATTTTATAAATGATGCAAGACAGGAACCCAAGACAGAGTAGGAATGTCAAGAGGGAAAACAAATTGCAAAGTGCTAAGAATGAAAGCTTCCTGTTCAGTGGACACAGACAAAAAAACACATGCCATAGGATCCTCAAACAGCAAAGGAAATGATTTCTATGTTCTGCAAATGCAAATGAGAACACTACTTCATGGAAACCTTTTACCCAGTGTTCAGAACCCAGGTGGCAGTGCCTAAAAGTGCTGGTCTGCTTATCTCACAGCATACATAAACAGGAGAAAGGGGGCTGTTCTTTCTCAGAAAGGGGCTGTTCTGTCAGTTCTTGCATGGACCTTGATATTCAAAGATTTCACGTTCAGTTTCAATTCTTTGCAAGCGTCCCTGAAGGAACAGAAGGGTAGAATTTGTACTTCACTGAGGTTTAGATTTGAAGGATGTAAATGTGGTGCTGATGTGCGGGAGTGAATGTCTTAACTATTAAACAAAACCCATTATCCACAGCTCAGTGCAATTTAGTCGATCTCCATTCTTTATGGTGAGCATTTTGTGTGGGAATTATATGCTAGAAAGGAATTTGTAAATTATTCCTCTGCAACCTGCAGCATAATCTAAGAATCTCCAGTTTGGTCTGTTAAGATGCTCTACTAAGACTAATGCAAATCAACAGAAAATAATTGGCAAAATAAAAAGTTGGGGCAGATCATTTTCTCCTTGTTCGAGAAAAGAATTTCCAATCTCTCAGTTGTAGGACTGTGAAGAAGCTGTTTAGTGCTATAAAAGATAAGGATGACAGCTGGGTGACATTCTCTCTACCACTGGCCCTTTGCTGGCTGATATTTTCACCATGGACTTGGAAAGACAAAGGCAGAAAGCAGGTTTTTCGAATGTGCCATTGAGCCAAAGCTTAAAGTTACTACCTTG